GCCTATACAGATTCTATACTTACCCTGTCCGTAATATGCTGAAGTTGTTTAAGTGTACTAACATTGCTCTATAGTCAAGCTCATAAGCTCCATCCTGGTTTAGGTGGAGATCAGTGCTGCAGTCCTATAGTTACTTGTTTACCATTTCACTTGCTGAAATACTGTCTAAAAAGTTCTGAAGAACTACATAACAAAGCCTGACTGCTGAAAGGAAGAAGTGCCACAGACAAAGTATCTTTTTGGGTAGTAGTCCTGAAAAGTCTACTGTTCAATCAGCTGTTTCACTTCCCACCCCCCCATATGCAGTAGATATTAAAACAAGGAATTAAGTTTTGATATCCTACAGGCCATCGCCAAACACACATTATCTAAACAAACAAAAAAATAGTTCTGTCTTAAGAGGCCAATTGTTTGCTTCCCTAACATAGGAAATTTAAGGTCTTGAAATAGCAGGAAACTCGTAAGTCTTGCGTATACATTATCACAGAAATATTTTAAAAGAAACTGATCAGAGGCATTTGAGACTACTCTGTAAATCTTGTCCTCCGTCCTTATGCTTGCTTTACAGACCACACAAATGCAACAGAAGAAACAACCTAAAATCATTTCTGTGAGTTGAACAGGAATGCTCACATAATCACTGGAAATGCTCTTAATTGGTGTGGCTCAGTGGTGCATTTCAGAGCTGTTAGATCTTCTGCCGCTGTGGAACTCTTTTCATGTCCTGGCAATCACAGTCCAGCCAGCAGTTTGTTTATCATATTCAGTATGAGTTTCCGGATCTCCAACAAAGCGGTATTTACTCCGAGGCAGGGAAGACTGCAGTAATCCAATAAGTTCTCATTAGCGTAAAATGCAGAAACATCTGCTGGGGTCATGAGCTGCTTACTGGCTGTTGATGAGCAAGGAATCAGCTCCATTTGAAGCCAGCGTGAACAAAGAATTGTAGGGATGGGGGGTGGTGGGGAAGAGACAAACGGGCCTCAATTATCTCCCGGGCTGCAGCTCCACTACAGCGCACCGCACCGTAGGCAAGAGGGATGCTCCCTTACCTTGACCCCCGGTGACCCTCTCGGACAGAGCACAGGAATTACAGCAAAAAAAATGTTTTGACTCAGCCCTCCTGAGCTGGTGGTCAAAACGGTCAGGCAACATCAGTGTAACTGAAGAGAACGTGGTCAGAGCTTCCTAATACCAGAATCCAGGCAGGGCAATCTGGGCAGTGCAAACCTAGTTCAAAAATCTTTGCCAATTGCTTTTTAGACAGCTAAGAGAATTTTGCAGGGGATGAATACTTACATTTCTGTGCTCTCCCCTTTCCAGCCAGGCTCTCAGACCTAGCTGGCTCATTTCACAGTTGCTTTCAGTTTTTGGAACAGAAAAAAAGTCCCCCCCACCCCGCCCCACAAAAAAAAAAGCACCTTAGGACACATGAATGTTAACAATTGCTTAATAAAGAACTTCTGGCCTAAAAGATTAATACATAGGTAATAAGTACTGTGCAAGTTCATATAGAACAAAACTAAATCAACACTGATACAAGTTACGGAAGGGAGAACATTATTAATTCTAGGTAAAAAAAAAAAAAAAGACATTGATAACCTGAATAAAAAGAGCCCTTAAGTTGTTTAGGATTCCAACCAATTCAGAGCATGTGACATTGTCAGAAAATAAGTGGAAAATACAAAATAAGTGGTGTCAGATCTGTTTAGCTCCTGCTCCAGTGATTCTGCAGTTCTTTGTTGTTGTTTGTACAGTGTTAAATATGGCATCTAATTCTGTGGCTACTTCAAGGTGGAGGCGCCTAAAATGCTTCTGTAAAGAGCCAGAACAGAACCACTTAGAAAAAATACTCAGGAAAATCAAGATGAAAAAGTCTCAGTTCGAAATAGTTTAAAACCCTTTCCTGGAGAGGCTGAGCTGCTTTATCTAACACTTGTTCTACCACATGTACAAAGAAGTACACAAGTGTTCAATTTAAGGAAAAGAACGGCCAGAATGCTCAAATCAGTGCCTGTGATTCTTCTGAAACAATGAGTGCACATCCCCAAGCACTTTATTGTTTTGTACACGCAGTTGGCCTTTAGCTCCAGGACTCCCACGCTGCCTTAAGCTTGTTGCATAGATAGCGACTGCCACCTGCAGCAGTAAGGATGAAGTGCTTCCCCAAAAGATTCAGGGCTCTTGACTCTCATCACAGCAAGCAGAACCTCTCTCCACCATCCTTCTTCAGGGAAGAGAACTAATAGCATGGCACTTCACCTCACAGTGAAAATTCATATTGCTGTCTGTTGCTTCAGTAATATTTGGGTATGTATATACACACAGTAGTTTCTCAATGGTAGAAAGTCACTTGACTGAAGAGGATGGGTTTACTTTAAAAGTGTTTCTTAAAAAAAAAAAAATTTTTTTTTTTTTTTTGACCAGCAATTAGGTCTAGCATCAAGAAACCCTAGGAAAGATGTTCAGTCTTGTGTCTGTGCAGAGACATAATTATCAAGACAGTATAAACTTGATTTTCACTTCATCCCTCCCCCCTCATATTTAAGACGACCCCTTAGCTTTCCAAGTCTCAGAATGACACACAGCAGGTTAAAGGCACAAGGACACACATCCTAGCAATTATCCAAACCTAGGAAACACAGTTGTTTCACCAGCAGTTTCATCATATAGGAGCCTTTCTACCGAGATCTCCAACCACCAAAACCAGACTACTAATTTGCAGCGAACCTAGCGACTGCTTAGCAAAGCTCCCCATCCAGCGGCCAACCTCGTAGGTACAGTTCATGTTCTGAGGCAGAGTGTGATCTCGCTGTGTGCAGCACCTACGTGCACTGAATGGTGGCACTCACAGGTGAGCTATGAGGTGCAGAACATCTTTGAGGAAGAAGAAATAAGAGATGAATATCTTAAATAACACATTGCCCTCCCACTGGCTCATGGTTAAATTGCTGCAAAAAAAAAAAAATGACACTGATGCAAGTGTCATATACAAGATACATTCATATACAAGGAGGGTCTTAATAGTTTGTTATATATTGACTTCTCATCCAGTGCACTGCAAATCTTACTGATCCAGTTACTATAGCTTCATTTACTCTTAACTTTTATTAAAAGGAGACAAGAATCTAGTGAGACCCTTAGTAATACCAGGAAGAAAGCCTGAATAGCACTTCAAGGAGTGCAAGGAGAGTACTTGTCTTGGTTTAACCCCAGCCAGCAACTAAGTACCATGCAGGCTCCCACTCACTCATCCCCGCCCCGGCGGGATGGGGAGGAGAATCAAAAAAAAGGTAAAACCCATGGATTGAGATAAGAACAGTTTAATAATTCAAATAAAGTTAATAATAATAAAAAGGGAGATAACAGAGAGAGAAGAATAAAACCCAAGGGAAAAAAACCCAAATGAACAAACAAGTGATGCACAATGCAATTGCTCACCACCTGCTGACTGATGATGACTGGTCCCTCCCAGCCAACTCTCCCCAGTTTACATACTGGACATGATGTTCTATGGTATGGAATATCCCTTTGGCTCGTTCGGGTCAGCTGTCCTGGCTGTGCTCCCTTCCAGATTCCTGTGCACCTCCTTGTTGGCAGAGCACAGGAAACTAGAAAGTCCTTGACTTGTTGTTAAGTAGTGCTTACTCTAACTAAAACATCAGTGTGTTATTAACATTATTCTCACATTAAATCCAAAAGCACAGCACTGTACCAGCTATTAGGAAGGAAATTAATTCTATCCCAGTTGAAACCAGGACAATACTCCAAGTATTTTCTCAGCAGGCCAAAAAGCTTTATAGACACGTCTTAAGCCAGAAACATACCATTATGCAGACAATATAAAGCAAAGCTTTTGAAAAATCACAACAGAAAGAGGTTCCACAGGTTAAAAAAAATACAGGATACAGCACATCTTTCAGAGAGAAATGCATTCCATGTACAAAAAAGGAAAGTACGTTAAAAAAACATGCCACATGTGGCATGTATGTTCATAACAGAGCACGCTCACTCTCGGGCACTTACTCAGTAGTTAGGTTTGAGGTTTCTCTCCACAGTCACAATCTTCTGGCCTCAGCACTTTGGGTGCCAGTAGTTCATGGCTTGCCATTGGGACTGGTTAGTACCTGTAAGTCCATCACTGCATATATTGTGTAGTATTAACCCTATGTAAGCCCTGACGGAAACAAAAGCTTCTGTAGGAGATCAGTGAAGATATTCAAACATGGAGGCTATTGATACAGCAGTGGCAAACAGTCTTTATTATTAAAAATAATAAATAAATTCCTTAAAGAGAAGGTGTCAGGTTAATACAAAAGCATTTATGATTTTAATAATTTGTTTCCAGGACAATTAGACAACCAATTACCAGAACTCTTCACTTGTTACAAGTGACTAGGCTCTTCCCAAGCATCAGCCTCATTACTTGCTACCCACATAGCTTTTCCTCTCAGCAAATCCAAAAATAGTGGACAACTAAGGGTTCCTCCTCCCAAAGCTGTTCACCAAGTGACCAATGATCATGCTGTACATTCCTACAGATCCTCCTGATGAGATCAGCAAATGCACGGTACCACATACACAATTCCACATCTATATTCTGATCTGCTGCCCTCTAAGGAACACTACTTTGGAAAGAGATGCACATCAGTGCACTTGAAGCCAGGTGCAAGAAAGTAAAACAAGAAGTTTAAGAATACCTAGGTCATATTTGCGAAGAATAACATTTCTTATTATTTACCTTTCAGTATTGTCAAGGCAGAAAGTGCTGAAAAAGGTGTCACAGAAATTCATGTTAAAAAATAAAAATATGTCTCCTAACGGGACAGCATGCAGAACAAAACTCCATTTCTTATATTAGCAAGCATACATGTTGCTGTTTTCATATTCTAGTGTAACTGAGGTTTTGGACAAGTTATATGTTCATACAAGAAGTAAAAAGATGACAAGTCTGCTGGCATTAATTTAGTACCCACCCATTAGCAAAACAATGCACAAACTTAGTTGAAGTACCAGTGTTTCACAACATCTAGTCCATGATTCTCTTCACATATGCTTTGGTTATGCAGAGAAACTTCTTTACTAACTTCAAATGACAGGTTCTGCACTTGTATGAAGTTCCTAGAAAAAAAAAAATAAGCAAGTTAGATCAGTTATTCTGGAGAATAATAATTTCTGCTTAAGCCCAAAGACTATGCACCTGGACATTTGCACCATTCTCCTACCATGGAGCCACCAGAAGAAAAAATATAAAATGTGAATTTTCTTCCTAAGGGCTAGCATTTGGAGGAGAGGAGGGGCAGTTCGCACGAGGGGGAGATGCACGGCTTTATGGTCTATCAATCATCAAAGATTTTAGCTGTAATCTCTTTTAGGGAAATGAAGGTAGGAAAGGAAATTTATCATGCTTTATATCTCTTCCTCATTGCTTTCAGTGATACTTTGTATTTGTTGACACAATACTTGAGGGAAAAACGCCTTTTCTGTGCTCCTCGTACCTCCTAAAGGAGGATATATTTGCATGGTTATTATTTAAGACATAGTGCTTCCAGTTCACTTTTCTGCCTCCTGGAGTTCTCCACTCTCTTACATATCTGCACTTTACCAGGGCTGTTCCTGCTCACTGAAATTCTCAGCTAAAATGTCAGAGAATGGCACACTAAAGTAGTTCACTTGGAATACACACAACCCCCCCCCCAAACATCTTCACTTTGACTGTAGGTACAGTAGGGACAGAAATAAAGATGTCTGCTATGAACAGAATTAAACAGTGATACTATCCCCTCAATTAATCCTCCTCCAATACATGTTCTGGATATATTCTGGCGAGATCTATACATTTTCCTCTGAATATTAGGCCAACGAGTCTTTTCACTTGATTATTGCAAATACCTTTGAAGCTCTTTATCCAGTTTCTGAGACACTTCTTTAAGCTCTTTCAGTACACTAAATGCTTTTGCACTTTCTTCTGAGTAGCTTGGCATAATTTCTGTCAAAAGCTCCTGTGTGATAGTTAACTGCTTTTGCAGTTCATCTACAATATGAGAGGTTAAAGATATTACTTAAAAATGCATGCAGTGGCATCAGTTAATACAAGATTACCTACTACCTGGAGTAACCACAGAGACAGGTGAACTAGATGATGGAAACCTACTGTTTGTTCAGCTCTCACAAACACATCATGAGAAAACTGTGAAAGTCAAATTATTTTTAGCTACTGTGGCTGGCACCAGCAACAGGCTATTAAAATTGCTAATCAAGCTCTCATTTAGAGTACTTCAAAGATTTTTTACACGACAAATGCAGGAGAAGAAAAAGTGTTAAACATCCAAAATTCCCTGGCCAGTTACATATGTTGCCAGTGGCATGTACTCCCAACACCAAAACTATCCAGGCCTTTCCTTTAGTATTCACAAACCAAAAATATCTATCTACTCCTTTCAAGCCTTCCTACAAGAATTTCAAGTTCTTCAATAAACCTTTTCATTTGTTTTAAAGTATAAGTAAGATTATTGCAAATTGTTTAAGAACCTCACTTCTTGCAGACCAGCAGTTTAAAAGTTTAAATTTTTGTCCAGACTTCAATACAAAACACAAGTACTAATTTATTAAACAAACATTCTCCGATTCAAGACAACACACAATATATTTAGGCTCTAGTTCTACAAGAAACATGAGCAAGTCTACCCATATGACTTTATGCCTCAAACACAGAAACAAAAAAGATCACAGTATTTCTACAACTTACAACTTGCTTACACATTAGGAACAAGAAAGGGGGAAGAATGCCATGAATGCAGTTAAAAGATACAGAAAATCGCTAAAGAAATTGTATATGAAGACTGCCCTAGCTTAGAAAGTTAATTTTTTTCCTGCTGCAAGACAAAAAAACTTGTTCAAGTGCAGTTTAGTGGTTAAACAGAGACAAGAATATTTCATAGCAAAACATGTGACTAATGCTGCAGCCCAGTGTCCACACAAGCTCTAAGAGCACACAAAATTCCTCCAGTGGCCACAGACAGATCTAGCAATAACCATGTAAGAATTTTAGCATACCAAAAAACCCACTATTTCTGAAAGTAAATTTGATGAATAAGTTTTCATACCAAGGAATGTTAGCATATCTCCTTCTATGTGAATATTCTTTATGGGTAATTCGTGTCTAGCGGCATCCAGGGAAACTGCAAAGCTTTTATATTGCTCTTTAAACTGTTCACAAACAGGAACAAGGGGAGAAAGTACTTCCATCTGAAAAAGACACATGATGAACCAACACTTCTTCAAAAGCAGCCATTTTGTTATTACAGACCTGGCTCAATACAGAAAAATAATTTATAAAAAACCCCAACTACCACTCTGAAATGCTCGATGACAGAGGAATTCAAGAAGTTTGCAGTACGATACTCCTATCACAGTGTTTAATAGGTTTTCCTCTACCACCTCAAAATGCTTAGGTCAATACCAGTTTCCACATTACCATAGCTCAGAGGTATTAGCAACATAGCAGGCAGTGTGTTTTATATTTGATACTTTGACTGTAGTTAACAGAGTATTCTCCAAAAGACAAAAGTCTTGTTTAATTCTTGCAATGCGTATTTGTTAAAAGCAATGATAGGTTCAGTTTTGAAAAATAATTATTCAAAAATTAATTATTCATTAGAAACTTGCCTTCTTGCAACCAGGCCAGAACTGTTGCTGTCTAACATACAAAATTAAGACAGAGAACAGAAGACGTTCACTCTTCATCTAAGGGTTAGCACCTCAGCTCTAGCCATAACTGTAACTGCATAACTGCAGGATGTTCACGTGGTTTGAGACACTTGCATCTCCTGTGCATCAACAGTAAACTGCTCTGGCAATCGGTGCACTACTGCTGCGCCTGCCTAACAGCTCTAACTTCTCCTTCCTGCCTGCCCACAAGGGACAACAAAACAGTGGCAAAGGCATTTGCTTAGGTTACTAGAGAGCATTACATGCCACAACAGGAAGTAGATACTTATTTTGTATAAGATGCATAAAATTGTACCCCAGCAGGCCACAGAAGCAGAGAAATCTTCTCTGGATAAAGGACTACTTCATAAGTGAGCTTATTTAAATATAGGAGAGGCATACATTGTAATAAAGCCTACCTGTTTGTCTAAGGCATCATCAAGTTTCTGCTCCCTCTCTTTGAGTAGAATTTCACGCTTCAACTCACAGAGCTTCTCCTGTTGTCTCTTCTTTTCTTCACACAACATTAACAAGTTTTTTTCTGCTTTCTGCTCCAGCTCCGCAAGATTTTTTCCTGCCTATTACATAAAAAAAAATACTCACAACTAAAGTAATGCTACATCTAAGTAATTAACGTATTCTGAATAAACAAATGTAAGCCTCAGACCAGGTCAAAAGAGCTCCAATTAGTGAATCGGAGACCTCAGGGAATAAGTATAGTACATTATAGTTAAAGCTCCCCTCCACCTTCTTCCCCGACCCCCGCTAATATTTTTTGTAAAGGAAAAACGCACATACACAGCACTGAGCAAACAAAGAACAAAGTCACTGCTACAACCCTGAACTCCAAGCACTCGCTCATGGTTTTCCCAAAACTTCTGCATATCCCTACTTCATGAAGAATCAGCTTAATAAACTGGCACTGAATTCACTCTAAGAGAGTTTTCAAAGCAAGTCATACAGATTTACAACCACAAACATATAAAGTCACAAAAATCTAACTTTTACCGATCGGAAAGCATAGATATTGAGGACTTGTTTAATTTCTTGTCAAGTCCTTCTATCTGAAACACCAAATACTTGACTGACTCTCACCTTTACTCTTAGATAAGTTAAAAGCAGTGTCTGAGATTCCAGTTCTTCCATCAGAGCAGCAGAAACATCTCCCTTCAGAAAAGAAAAGAATATACTAGATCAATTTTGGTATTTAAACAATTATTTTTTCAATGTTCAAATAAATTACTGAAAGTCCAGTTTGTGCCCAGAATCATCATCATCAACAGTCAGCTTGATGAAAAAAGTTTGGGTTTTTAAACAACACATGTTAATTAAATATACCTCTTCTGGTCCTTGTTCCACCACTTTTTATAACATTTTCAGGAGATTTTCGTAATACTGGTATAGAACTTGAAGTTTCAGTGCTATGTTGAATAAGATCCCTAAATAAAGCACTTCAAATTAGGTTGAATCAATGTTAGTTTTCCGAGAAAAAATGTCAGAAAATATTTAAAGATAACATGATATAATTGAAAAGTATGGATAGGAATATAAAAAGAATCCACTTGAGGAGACGCTACAATTGGAGTAGATTCTTTACCACAGGAAACAGAGGCAAAACTTCAGTCAGTGTTGGGACATATGACAAACAAACCAAACATCACTAGCATTAGAACAGACTCATCCTCTTATCCTCTGACTTCTGCCAGAGGCTTTAGATCATCCCAGGACTTCAAAGTTGTTATTGAGATTAAAGATAAACAGAAAAACCTTGATTTCACACATTTCAAAATAAACACGCATAACAAATGAAACAGTGAGACTCACCGCTTTTTTATTTTTTTGACCTATCCTTGGACCTTCTTTGCGAGCAGATTTTGAATCAGGAGTCTTTTTGCAGACAGTTTTATCTGTATCACAACAGAAAAGTTATTGCGCTCTTCTACCAAAGTATATAGGGCAGGTCAACATACCATCAGGTTCTTCAAAGGCAAAGATAATTCCAAAATTATTATATGTACCAGTAAAGAATATGTGTGTACCATTTCTGGCTCTGATGATACTCATGAGAAGATGTGGATCACATTAGCATTTAGCTTTAAGTGACAGTTAGGGATAGACATGATACAATTTTCAAAAGGGCTGATAATCTAACACCCATCTGTTATAGGAGCAAAGACTTTAGGGTACTTTTTTCTTTAATATTTGATCTTAAACAAAAAGAACAGAACACGCAAAAGATATTAAAAATCGACAGGTTAATTTAAACTCTGAAGGTATCAATACCTCTGCTTAAAGACACTTGAAATAACATTCACCTTATTTAACAAAAACCTTTTGTGAATATAGTAGAATACAACACTGACTTATCATCAGGTTACAACACATACGTTAAAAATAATAAACTAAGAAACCAAGTATGAGTGGAAGCTTACCATTAATAGCTGAAAGATCAAGGTCCGGTCGACTAATTTTATCTTCATCTAACAAAGTGGATTGCAAGTCATGTTTCTCAAAACTACTCTGATTTAATGAGCTAGAGATAACACCTGTAGAAAGAAGCTGTTATCAAACTAAAAGAAGTAGAAAAGATTCTGCACAAGTTCACAATTATGTAAGCTTTCGCTAATATGTGGCAATCTTATACAAACTTTTACACATTTACTTTATATACACCATTTGTATACTCCTTAACTTACTTAGAGATAATGTAATTCAGAATGTTATCCTCTTAAATATTTCACAGTTCAACAACACTCAGATGTGAAAAGGGAATAAAGTTATTTCCTCAGGATTTTCAAGTCAAGTTAAGGTCTTGCCAGAAAATTCTTTTTGCATTTCTTGCAAAAGAAATAAAAATGGACCGCTTTGCAGACAGGGATTTTCACTCATTTACACTGGGTTTATTAAAAAGATTAAATAAAAAAACCAGAACAATGGTGAGGGCATAGTAAAAGAGTAGTTCAAAGCCTTGTGCAGAAGGCAAGAGATATCTCTTGCTTATTTTAGACAACCCAATTTCTCAATTCCAGATCTAGATAAGAGTCTAATGCACTTGAGTTTACACCTCTTACTCCCAGATCAAGTTTCTTAATTCCCTTTGTACACAGATAATAACTAGCAGTGATGCAAGTAATACAAAATATCATCTCTCAACAACATTTTAGAGTTGTTACGAGTTCCATAGGTTAGAAATACAAATTCATAAAAAAATAGCTTTTACGTTCTGATAAAACCTACCAGCAGAAGTTTTAAGTTTCTGAGAAAGAACTGATTTTGGTTTAGATGTAGAAGATGGTTTAGCAGTAGACTCCGAAAAGGAATTTGCTGAAGTACCCTGACAAACAAGAAGACTGTTAAGACTGAACTTAAGCAGTAATTGTTATCAGCAATAGATCTTACCTCCAACTTGAATGCTGACAATAAAGAACTACAATCCCAGGGCATCTTGGTGCTTTGCAAGTCACCTGAGTACAGTCCCAAGTTCCCACCCCAGTCTGCATCTAGTCAGACATCACGACTCCCTCATAACCCCGGCTGAGTCATTTTTCGCTTAGGCCTTGCTGCCACACGCCCGAACTGCCCCTCGCACCATTTCTATCCTTTGCCGACCTCGGCAGCGAGACATCCAAGTACCTTTACGGCGTCTTTCTTATCATACTGCAGGTAGCGAGACTTCACGATTCTTCCTCCTGCAGAAGGAGCAA